CAGCTAAAATGTTATGTCTAGACGGGCCTAAGACAACTTTGAAACACTTTTGCTAAGGCGTTTTTAAATTGTTTTCCAAATTAGGTTCATAAAATAAGTAATTGGAACAACGGTAAAACACTAGTAATTTATTATTACAGTTGAGGGTTGGAACCTTTGGTTTTACAACAGCAAAATAAAGCACTAATTCACCATAATACACCAGAACACTTTACTTTTGCCCTGGACGCGCGTTTCGCTAACCATGTTAGCATCATCAGCGGATGGACAGTTTTTAGTTTTAATCAACTACTGATGATGCTAACATGGTTAGCGAAACGCGTGTCCAGTGCCAAAGTAGAGTTTTTTAGTTTATTGTGGTGAATTAGTGTTTTATTTCACCAGTAGTTTATTAAAATGCATGACATTGAAAAAGTAACATCGTTAAAATTTTTGTTGTAATTTGACGGAAAGATCTAATAATGATAGAATTTTTTCTTTCAAAAAATGTTTGTTGGTAGCTATATCCGCCATAGTATCTTTAGTCCCTCATACATCGAAAGATTCGGCCTGCGGACCCGGCCTTCAGATAAAATTTTGCCTTTTTGAGCTGGACCAAGACTTTGGCGGGCCAGGCCTTTTGCAGACTAAGCCTGTCACAGGCCAAGTGCGCGGACTTGGCCTATGAGGTTAGATTTGTCTAAAAAACGAACCATGGATAAGGGTACGAACATAGTGGAGGCAGGTTTCTGCTTTCCGGCAACCAGCGCCGTCTCTGGGGACCTATTCTTGACCACATATCGCTCACATCTCGCATCTCCGAAAACGCCATATAACAATACACGTGATGCGTAACTTTGCGTATATGCCGTGTATTGTTATATGGCTTTTTCGGAGATGCGAGCAGGGTTCGGAAGTAGTTAATTAAGAGGAAATTTACCTGATTAACTAACCTAACCTAACCTAACCATATCCAAACGCCGCTACCGCCGCGCCGGCGCCGCACATAGGGGTATTTGGTCTATAAACCTGGCCAAAAGTGAAATATTTTTATTTTCATTTTTTATCTTAACTGAATACAAATCTATAAATACTAAGTACAAGTAAGTTGACTATCAAATAAATAATATATTTCAATTATTATGAGTTATCTTGAGTGTATTCTGAATATTTCTAAGAAGATTATAAAATAGTGGAATTGTTTGTAGTGCTTTTTTTGCAAATTGTTTATAATAACTGTCATCATGGATACAGAGCCAGCTTTGTTTGTTTGCTCTGTTCTGTTTTATGCCATATTTTTATTTTGAAACGTTTCCTTCTATTCTATTTTTTTATAATGTTTTATATTTAAAAAATCAGTGGTATTTTTATAAGGTGTAAGACTATTCGGCAATATTCCGCATGGAAATTAGTATCCGTTCAATGCTTAAAGTCTCCAGCATTGGAATATGCACAAAAATCTTGCCAATATTTGCCACTGCCAACAAAAACATTAACTTAAATAGATTCTTAAAGGAAATAGTCTTTACCCTATTAACACCCATCCTCGCTCAAATATCGTCTATAATAATATACAAATTGGATACCAGTTGAAGTGGTATTTTTCCCTACGACAAATCTTCTTTTTCATCTCCCCTGATATAGATTCCAGCCCGAGGAGGTTTCATTTTCTTTTCCCTTGCGCTGCGGTGATTGACCCAGCTGTATTATTTCGTTCAATTTATTTGTTGTTTGAGCTTGTAATATTTCCATATTTACCTGATGTGATGTTACTTCTTCGACACTTTGTTGGGGATTTTGGATTTGCTTTTGACGAACAGCACGTCCATTTTTCGCCGCTTTAGTCATTTCAGCCCATGATGGGTCGGCTCCAGCCCTATTTATATTGTTTGGAATTTGGAATTTTCGGGTTGATTCTGTTTGGCTTTTTGTATTTTGATTTTGGATTCTGACAATTTTGACATTATCAGCTGATGCTGATATTTCTTGATTTTGACTTTGACACGATTCTTCAAATACCATGTTGCCGGATTTCGAGTCGATTTTTTCCTTCAGTAATTTAATATTTTCATGCAGGATTACCTCTTTTGATTTTAATTGGCTAATTATTTCATCTTTGCTCGCTAAAACATCATCCTTGGCTTTTTGTTCGTTAGGCAATTTTTTTTTATCTGTAAACCTAACTGCTGACAAGTAGTTTCCGTTGTATTAACGTAGCAGTGTTTACAAAAAATAACTATTTTATTTTGTAGATTTTATTGCAGTGGCGAAATACCCATATAGGATTTTTTGGAGAGTTGAATAAATATATGCTTTTATTTTGGCCGAAATTTTTTCCGTTCTGTTCGTTTCGTTTCGTTTTTGACAAGTGAGCGCCAAGCTGTAGGCGGTAGCCAAGAAGCAGAATAAAAAAAACAATGCTCAACACTACTAGCAAATAAAACGTTAGTTTTTCGGATCGTGCGTAGTGAGTCTGTTGTCTTTCAAGTGAATCCTCAACTCCGTTATGTAGCTCGAAAGACGAACGAAAGGAATTTATCTCGAATATATTGAAGAGTACCTTAAAATCCTCCAGCCCTTAGCTTATACCATCGATACATTAATAGCGAACAAAACACATCACCCGTTTTTAATAGACATGTATTCGATGACATCTATAAATACATAATTATAAACTATAATGGCAATAAGTACTACAAAATAGGTTAAATTTTATAACAAAAAAAACATATTTTTGCTTTTGTAGTTGTACTGAAAATTAACCGTTGTATTTTATGTCGTTTTAGTCTAATCTGTACCAACAATAAATTAATAGTATGATACTAGTCAGAAAATCGCCTAATGGATAATTTAGGTAACAAGAAAATTAATATTAACATTTAAAAAAAGGTACTTACACAGATACAGATAGTTTAACTAACCAGAAATAAATTTATTTCTGGTTGTCTTGACTTGAGGGTAATTATATTAATTTAAGTCATTTTACTGGCTTAACTTGCAGATCATCATGATTTAAGTCAAAAATATAGGCTTAAGTCATAAAAACGACTTAAATAACGTTATACTGATTTAAGTCTACAAAAATGACTTGACTTGAAATAAAATGATTTAAGTCAAAGTCTTAAGACTTAAATCTTGAACTTTATGTTGAATTTGACTTAAGACTTAAATCATTTTGATTTTTTAGAAATGACTTATGACGAAATAAGTCTTTTTAAAACCGACTTTTTGCAGCTCTGGTGCGATAGATCTCGGTCAAAAATCGAGATAAATAAGAGAATAATTATTTTCATTCGTAACTCGTAACTCGTAAGTAATTCGACTGTGTAAATCATAATATCTTAATTAACAAATTGCAATACTATGGATTCAGGGGAGTGCCACTCGAATGGCTTAAGTCGTATCTTGGCAACAGAAGGCAGCTTGTGAGGATTGATACGTCTATGTCTTCTTGTAAGCCTATAGAATGTGGTGTCCCCCAGGGTTCAGTACTTGGCCCTATTTTATTTCTGGTGTTTATCAACGACATTGCAAATCTAGACATTAGTGGTAAAATCTGCCTCTTTGCGGACAATACTAGTTTCACTTGGAGCAGCCCAGATGTTACGGTACTATATAATACTATATCCAGTGACTTACGCACCATTAAATCTTGGTGCGATTCTAATCTCTTATGCCTCAACCTTTCAAAAACTAAAGTTTTGCCATATAAAAGTACTATACAACCTTTTGTACTTAATAACACCACTATTGATGTCGTGGACTCTGTGAGATTCTTAGGAATTGTTGTAGACAACTCGTTAAAATGGGACTTGCACATCGAAGCCTTCAAATCAAAGAAACTAAGCTCTGCCTGTTTTGCGCTAAGATCAGTTTCTAAGGAACTTAACTCATCAACCTCTAGAATGGTCTATTATGCCCTTTTTGAGTCGCATCTTCGTTATGCCCTTCCATTCTGGGGTACTTGCTGCGCGACAAAATTTGATCGTATTTTCAAACTTCAAAAGAGAGCAGTTCGATACTTATTGGGACTAAACAGTAGAACTCACTGCCAGAATTTCTTTAAAAATTTCAGAATACTGACTCTTCCTTCCTTATTAATTTTTGAATCCGTTTGCGAAATCCGCAAGCACATATTTTCTATTCCGGAAAGGCCTTCTCACAACTATCCACTTAGGAATGCGGAGCACGATATTTATCTGCCAACCCCGAGCTCAGAACTAGTTAGGGGCTCAATACTGTACAAAGCCAAGAAAATGTACAATCATTTGCCTTCGAATATCAAGTCACTTTCATTCTTTCCCGCATTTGGCAAAGCTCTGAAATCATACTTACTGGAGAGAGCTATATGCGGTAAACGACTTTTTTGTTGCTGTTTAATCATGAACAATTTTGAATTTTAAAATTTTGATCATCTCACACACTGGTTAAAGGTCTAGTTTTTAATATTTAATATTTTATAACTCTTGATTTTATGATATATAACATGATTTTATCCATTTACAGTTTTCCTTTTGTAAAATTTTCTAGATACGCCTGTGTTCTGCAATGTCCATATATGTTTTGTTTGTAATTTTATGACGTAAATTTTTTTGAATTGATTTGTATTGTATGACTTTTTTTTATTATTTGTATATTTGTTTTTTGTGCTTTTTTGTTTTGTGAATGCTTTGTCGATGAAGCTGTTTTGGCTTTTTGTACAATAAAGCGTTGTTTTTTTTTAATTATTAATATACGGTCAATTAATAATAAATATAATAATTTTACCGAAAATGTTACCGAACTAAGTCATATTAATCCGTCATCGCGCTCCACCTAAGTTAGTTGATATTTCCTTCGTTAATATTTTTATTCAAACGTTTAAACGGTACTTCTAACTCAATCTATTAGCCGAAAATTGAAACAAAAATAGAAATTTCAAAGTACACCGTAATTTTGGCGCGGCTATACCAGCGCTAGTGTCCCGGTTTATCTAAAAATTCTAATTTTAACACTGCTCTTCTGTCAGTAAGTCTGTCAGATCGGCACCTGCCAGCCGTCTCAGCTGCCATGCTGCCGACATGGGCAACGCGCACGCCAAACAACATCCCAGATTAAGAAACAAAAAGCAAGTGCACTGGAAAGCAGCAGGTATGTGTCATTATTTTCTTATTTGGATACTGTGTGTGTCTTTGTGTTGTTTTATTTAGAGTATTTAATATGCTTATAGAGATACTGGTGTTAGAATATTGGATAGTGAAAGCTGAGAATGATGTCAGACGCATCCAGAACGTATTTAGGAGGATATAATTAGATTAGAGACGCGATCGGTGAAATCGGTTCATATATATTTCGGCGTTTTTTCCAAGTTTTTTTTATTTCTCTTTGTCCGCGTTATGACTCTTTCATAAGGAACAATAACAGACCATTTTAAAATTGCTGATTTTTTAATAAATAAAAGTGCCAATAAAGTATGTTGCAGTGCATATTAAAGCAATTTTATAATTATAATGTTAATGAGATGCCTTAAGCCTCTGTGGTATAAAGCCTTGGAATCTAATTATTTTGAAGGAATTTCTATAGATTTCTGTTCCGAACAAGCTCCGTATCAGGTATCTTATTTGAAATTTTCACTCCAAACCTAGTATAAAATATTTTCTACAATGGTAGTGCACATCTCAAAAATATTGATATACAAGGTGAGTCAAAATATTTTTAAACTCAGTTTTAGTTTTTTACATGAAATGCTTTATATTTTTTTTTTGATTCAGTGGATTTGCTATAAAATTCTTCTTATTAAAATTGGACCATTTATACATACCCTTGATTATGTATAAATAGATGTACAATGAGGGCTTAGTAAAAGCCCGTCTTCTAGGGGGCGCCTTGCCCGATCTGCATTTTTGTATTCCCCTACGATTTTCTTTGAGGGGAATCCGTTAAACCCGCCCATCGTTCAAAAATGGAAGGGCGCGAGGTCACATCTATTGGGCCACTTATTAGCACGTTTCACGCATGTTTTACGAAAATAGCTTTATCCTTGTTTGTTTCAACTGTGACAAGGAAAAAGGAAGAAAAGTCATATTCGCTTCTAAATTCGGCAGTTTTGTTGATCTTTCTGGACTTGTAATTTCGTTTCGTTTAGGTTATGTCTTATAAAAATAAATATTTATAAGCTTTTGAATTGAAATATACCTTAATGCATATATGAGTAATTAAAAAATTCAATTTTTTCGTCCCTCGCGAAGAAACATATACAGTATTTGTGAAATTTGGATTACAAACTATTATTTTATTAGTTTATTTTGTTGTGTTTAAGTGTTGTGTATTTGTACCTACTGGATAATATTTTCCAACATATTTAATTAAGCAAAAAGCATTTGTATTACAGGTAAGTAAATACTGTTCATATTTATTTCTAAATTCATATAAATTTGTTTTAAATCACTCTTGGGAAAAATCTTATAGAGAGTCTGAGATAAGTTTAATAATAAACATTTGATAGATTGATAGATAGATTAAACGATAATGGCCAGTTTGCTTAAGAGTCTAAAAAAATACTGATTTTATGCTATAAATTGTTTCATTTCTCACTTTGCTTTTTTGGAACTGTCAGATATATTGTGTGTTTTATAATTTTTCCGAGAATTTTTTCTAATAACTTGATAACGTAAAATATTGTTTATCTACAGTCAACCCTGTGTTTAGATAAAGCTTCATATCAGATTTCCTATTTTATATTTTCACTCAAATCATATTTTTTATAAAATATGCTTGCAAAAGTAGCGTAAATTTGACAGGAGGGTATTTTTATAGATATACAGGATGATTCAAATATATATTTACTTTTAAAGTTATTAGTTACGAGCAAAGGTTATGAGTTTGTCAAAAGAAAGGCTATATTTTGTATTTTTGCTTGGTGGATTTGTTATTAAATTGTCATTATAAAAAATACCATAATATCGTAATCGTATAGAGTTCATTTTGACCAAAGAATATATTTTGACCCTTTTTGGATTGAATTTTTTTGTTTATATAATAAAATATATATTTAAAGCCCTCTCTTTCTAAGTTAAGTTTACCTAAGTTAGTGTTAAAATAGGTAATATCGACGTTTTTTACTGGAACTAATTTAAGTTAATAATTAATAATTATATAATTCACATATAATTATATTAAAATAGACTAAATTGTTTATTATATACAGGATGAGTCAAAACTAGATATTATATTTTTCTTTGCTATTTCAAATGAAACACTGTATTTTATATCATAAATCAACAAAGCTTTTATCCAACTTTTGTTTTATTAAGATCTATATCCCAAATTAATAGTTATTAAATTGTTTTCAATTGTCTCTTTGCGAATAAACATGATTTGTTTTACGCAATTTTTATTAGTAGGTTTGTCGTCAAAAGTGATGTATCTATTTATCAGCGACAAAAATTAAGAATTAGATGTCTAAAATAATATGATTTATACTTGGCATCAGTAAATATGATTTATTTTATCGATGCGGCTGAAAATAATTATGTATTCTAAAAGAGGACATTATTGTATAAACATCGATTATAGATTTAAAAATTATTTTTCAAAACAAAGTTGGAAAAAATTTTTGGAGAAAAAATTGGAGTTCTGTTCGAAATAATCGAGAAAAACCTAACATCTAGTTTTGACGCCCCCAGTATATATCATGCATTATAGTTGATTATACTGCAATTTATTATACATAAGTAGTTTTGTTTGGTGAAAATGAAACTTTCTAAAAGTATTCCCAATTAAAACATATTAAGAATTTCCTACATTATAATTTTGAAAGACGTTTGAGTGGGCAGACAATTTGGTCTAAAATAATAATATGCCTAAAAAATTTAGTCTAAAATAATCAAAAACCACTTAACACATATAACTCGCTTTTAAAAAATCTAAAAGAAATAAGTTTGTTTATTATATTCATATTTTATTAAATTATTATAGGTGTGACTGCTAAGTGGTCGTACTCGCCACTTTAACCAACCATTGGTGGGACCTTCAGAGATCAGAATGCGAATTTCTTCATACCATGTAAATCTATATACATATATTAATAAATGTGTTTGCTTTATTAATTTTTTTTTCTTATACGGTATGAGCGAAAAAAAAACGGCGTCTATTTGTTTACGTACAAATGACATCGATAGTCATTTCCAAGCCACCTCTGACGCCGTTTTTTTATCGTATGGTATATATTTACATATCCCTTATCCTTTAATTCCGATTTATTTCTAATAATTATAAAAATAAGATACCTGATTGATTCTTCCGAAATATTATAAAATGAGATATCAGTAAAGAAATAAAGTTAATTATCTCGTTTGTTTTGGGAATTCCAAAAGAAAATTAAAAAAAGGGTATAGAGAATCTTTACAGACACAGTTCAAATGTTATTTTTGAGTATATTGAGTGCTTCAAAAAATATGGCGGATACATGTTTTTTAATGCAAAACACCATTTTTATTTTTTTTTCGATTCTGCCTAAAATTCTATAACTTTTTTTTTATAAATAACGTTAGTAAGTATTTACAATTTAAAAAAAAAGTGAAATTTTATTCCTATGTTACTTAATTGTCAGTTGTTTCCGAAGTTGGACTACACAAATTTGGTATATATATATATATATATATATATATATATATATATATATATATATATATATATATATATATATATATATATATATACATATATATTATTATTTTTTTTAGTGATTTTACAAAACCTTTATTATATTAAACAAGTATATTAAGTATACCTATACTCAACAGCTTGCAATCTGTTCTGAATTTTATCCTTCTTTTAATTCATTTACATTGTAACATGTTGCCATGAAAAACAAAAATTATTTATTATTAAGCATTAAGTAAAGTAATTTATTTAGTTATATGACATTCTTAATAGAAGTTGAAGGATTTTGTAAAATCTATCAGAAAGAATTATAATATATCGGGTGTTTTTCAAAAGTGGCTTGATTGACGTATTCAATTAGCTTCAGTCATTTCTTGTTTCACCGGAAATGACTACAACTTTTGGTTTTTAAATGGTACCGTCGGTATTTTTTTTACTTTATTTTGCAGAATATGGCATGGTAACGACAGTTTGACTCGACATACGGAGTGTGTGATACCAAATTATTTACCAAAATGAGGTACCATAATTTATTAGGTATCAAAAAATGCTTTTCTAAATATGCTAATGAGCCACTCTCGTTTCATTATAAAAAATTGAGTTATGATTAAAATACGAAATGGGCATATTTCAACTGACCAGGAAAAGACACAAAAAATATTAGACGACCAAATCAATTTTTCCAAAGCTCCTTGATTAATCCTCGATTAAAAATTAATGGTTTTAAGACAGTCATGACACTAGATTGAATTTTAAAATGCTATTTTTGATTTAATTGAAAATGTCAAAAGTTGACATATGATTGTTGATGTCAGAAGTTGTCATTCTATTCAGAATGTCATTTTCTATCAAATAAAGTACCGTATGATCGAATAAAAACGGCGTCAGCGATGGTTATGAAATGAAAAGCGCTGTCATTTTATAAGTAAATTTATATGGGAAATGTCATCGATGTTGATTTCATAGCCATCGCTGACGCCGTTTTTTTACCACCATTTAAAAATCAAATGTATACATTTCCGGTGAAACAGGAAGTGACCGAAAATAACTGAATACGAATCAATCTAGATTTATGTCATATACCTACTAACATTCCCAATTTAGTTTTTTTTATCTGAAAAAATAAAAAAGTTATAGAGGTGAACCACTTAAAAAAAAACACTCAGTATAGGCTGTGTCATTGAAAGAATCTGCAGATATTTTATTTTAATTTTAAATATACGTAGAATTAACCATTAATATATGTTGAACACCCTGTAGCATCTGCCTTAAATATCTACATATAAATATCTAATATTTTTTCTTCATCAACAAATTGAAATATTATAAAACTAGTTTTAGGTTACACCATTATACAAGGATTATACATAAAAAAGTAATAATTTTACGCCGGATCTAAAATAAAATAGGATGTTACATTTAAAAAAAAAACATTATGTTAAATCCGCCATACTTTTTACAAAGTTACAGAGGTAGGTAGGTATAGT